CATTGTGTTGAAAGAAGCCAGTCCCATTTATACGATATTCTCAAAAAGACAAAGCTGTAAAGATCAGATCCTTGGTCACCAAGGGTTATGGGGTGGGTAAGGGGTGAATATTAAGGATAATGGGAGGGAGTTTCTTTGAGTGATGGAACTGTTCTGTGTCTAGTTTATAGGGGTGGTTTCACTGTATGGTAATATAAAATAGCACTAAAAAATAATAGCATTGAAGAGCTAAAAACTACTAAATAAGCAAATGTATGTAAAGTTCATGTGTTTCTACTTTAATTGCCCAACACTGGGATTTCATGATAGTAGACCAAAAACAATATTGTTCATCCTTTTTCTGATGAATAATGCACATTTTTAATTTCACAATTTCATTTAAATTGAGGCTAAATTACATACAGAATAAGGTTGCCAGATACAGCAAATAAAAGAACCCAGTTAAATTTCCATTTCAAATAATCATTTTTTTAATAGTCTGACCCCCACCCCCAGTCAAAACTTCATGTATATCTTTTAACTTGCCAAAAACTTACTACCAATAGCCTATGTCGACCAGAGGCCTCAACCATAACATAATCAACATATATTTTTGTAGTTATATTATACACTATACTCTTAGAACAAAGGTAGAAAAATGGATCTTCAAATTGTCACATATCTCCAAAAGAAATTCCGATACGTCTGTTGAAAAAGATCCACATATACAGACTCATGCAATTCAAACCTGTGTTGTTCAAGGGTCAACTGTATAAATATGTCCCAAATATTGAATGGGATATGCTTGTATTAAAAAAAAAACTTACCTAAAGTTCAATTTAACTGGGTATCCTATATTATCTGGTAATCCTGACACAGAAAAATACACAGATCCTAAATCTATATACAATTGAATGAACTTCGGTAAATGTAAATACATGTACAACCAACACCCCTACCAAGAAACAGAACATTTCCCTTATCCCAGGTTCCTTTCTAGCCCCTTCCAGCCACTCTTCTCTCCAGAGGCAACCACTGTTTTCTTTTGATTAGTTTTGCCAGTTCCTAAACTTCATATAAATAGAATTGTACTCTTATGTGTTCTGGCTTCTTTGACTTAACATATTTTTGAAATTCATTCATGTTGTTAGTCAATAGTTCATTTTGTTTTATTGCGAAATCATATTCCATTGTAAAACATACCACAATTTTTAAATCCATTCTCCTGTTGTTGGACACATGGCTTGGTTCCTGTTTGGGACTATGAGTGAATATATAAAGTTATGAACATCCATGTACAATTTTGTATGTTCTCATTTCTTTTGGGTAAATACCTAGGAATGGTTTTTGGTAGTTCATGAGGTTTTAGAAGAAACAGTAAACTATACTCCAAAGTACTTGTGCCACCTTATATTACTACCAACATACAAATTTCAGTTACTCCATATTCTGCAACTTTTTACTGTTAGCCATTAGAACTTTTTACGTTCTATTGGCTTTGTTAATTTTATTTTCTTCATTTTGTTTCACTGATTTCTGCTCTCATGTTCAGTGTTTCCTTCCACTTACTGTTTAATATGCTCTTCTTTTTCTAGTATTCTAGGAACATTGATTTTACAACTGTTTCTAATACAGGCTTCTAAAACGATAAATTTCTCTTTTAGCTCTACTTTTTCTGCATCCCACAAGTTCTCACCTTTTATGTTTTGATTTTGGGATTCTTCTAGACATCTTTTTGTTAGTAATTTTTAATTTCATTGTTAGTGGCCAAGTGTATGTTCTACTTGAATGTTTTACACATGCTTGAAAATAATGTCTCTTCTACCACTGTTTGGTGCAGTGATGAATCACTATCAATTTGATCCGAACAGTTGGTGGTGTTCAAATCTTCAAATTGTCACTGATGTTTTGCCTGTGTCTATCATTTGCTGAAAGGTTGCAAAAATCCTCAACTTTGTGGGTTTCTCTACATGTCCCTTTAGTTCTGCCGATCTTTGCCTGATGTATTTTGAAGCTGTTACTCAATGCAAATGCACTGTCCCTTTTTTATGAAAAGTCCTTTATCTCCAGTATACTTTTTCTTTCTTAAGGCTGTTTTGCTTATTAAAGCCAGTTGTTTTTTTATGCTGTTTGTATGATCTTTTTTTCCCCCATTACTTTCATCCTGTGCCTTTAAAGCTTAATTCTTAAAGACAATACAGTTGGGACTTAAAAAAAAAAAATCTAGTCCTTTTAATTGGAGTGTTTAGTTGTATACTTTTAGATAATTATTGATTCCATTGAATTTAGGTCTACCATTTTGCTATATTTTCTATTTGCCCTATGTTTCTTGCCCTATATTTCCTTTCCTGCTTTCTTTAATTGTATATCCTTCAGTGTTCAATTTAAATTCCTCTAAAATACATTAAAAAAATTTTTTTTCTCCTGCCATGTTTTTGGTAGTGTCTGTCAAGGGATTACAATACATATACTCAATTTATCACAGACTACTTTAGTTATTATTCAACTACTTCAAATAAAATATAAGAACTCTGCAACTATAAAATTCCTTTAACCACTCCAAGTTGTGCTACTGTTGACATATATGTTGCATCTAAATATATGCCAGGATACCATGATTGTCAGTTGTCTTTTAAAAACACAACACACACAAAAAAATTGATAGGCTTTTATATTTTCATATTATTTCCTTCTATCCGATGTCATTTACCTTCAGCCTAAAAAAACTCCCTCTACTTCCCTTGAGGCACAGGTCTACTTGTGACAAATTCTGTTATGAAGATTATTTTGCTTTCGTTCTTAAAGTATGTTTTCACTGGATATAGAACTCTGGGTTGACAGGGTTTGGATTTATTTTGCTTATTTTCATTAAAGATGGCCCCCCCATTGTCTTATGACCTCCATTTGGTTCTGATGAGAAGCACTCGACATTTACTGCTCCCACGTATGTAATGGTTTCCCCATTACACTCTTGGTGGCTTTTAAGATTTTCTCTTCTTTGGTTTTCAACAGTTTTAACTATGATGTGTTAGGTGTTATGGGTTTCTTTTATATAGTTATCCCGCTTGAAGTTCACTGAGCTTATTGGGTTGTGTATTGACAGTTTTACCAAACTTAGAAACATTTGGCCTTTACTCATTTTTCTGCTCTATTTTTTCTCTTCTCCTGAGAATTCAATTATATATGTGTTGAACTGCTTGATATTGCCCCACATGGGACTGAGACTTTTTTTTTCCTTCCCTCTTTTTCCTTTATTCCTTAGACAAGATAATTTCTATTCGTCATCAGCACTCTGCTGTTATGCCCAACCATTTGGATTTTGTTTCCATTTCTTTGCTGAGAGTACCCTCTCTAGTCATTTATTACAAGTTTGAACATACTTCTAAAAGCTACTTTAAAATTCTTGTCTGCTAATTCTACTATCTGGATTGTTAAAATCTCTTTCTAATGTGGGTTTTTGGCTTTTGTTTTTACTCTAAATTGTATCTTCCTGTTTATTTGCATGCCTTGTATTGTATTTTGGTCATTGTTGATATGCTAAAGAGACTTATTTTGTTATCATGCTATGGAAGTGTTAACTTTTGTTCTACCACGCAATTAAATTATTGGTTAATCACCTTGATTTTATGGAGGCTTGATTTTACATTATGTTAAAGGTTTTATCTTTTACTTTAGCCCAAATTCTTAGTCTTGGTCATAGTTTTTAGCTAATACATGACCATTCGAGGGATTTGATGAAAAGCCTAAGGTGCTTATCAAGCCATCAGACTTGTCAGGATTAAAACTTGAAACTGTTTTTTCTTGCAGTAGAGTTAACAATCTCTGTTTAGTTTTTACAGCCTTCCAGCTATGGCTTTCCACCAGGTTTGATGGGAGTCTTCTCTGCATATGCACAGTTCAGGAGTTAGCCAAAGATTTAAAAGGGGGTTATATGCAGGTTGGAAGACTCCTCCCTCAGTGCCATCTTCTCTTTTAGGATTTCCTGCTTCAATTATAGCTCTTCTGGCAGTCTACAATTCCTTTAACACTTCAAATCAGTAAAGCTGCAATTTTCTCTTCAGTTCTAGCCACCCCTCACCAGACAGACTGGAGATTGCCCTGAGGGGAAAAGTCATTAAGTATAGTTCTCAGCCTGCTTTTGCTCACTTCCCAGTGCCTTTATACAGTTACTATATTTTGTCCAGAGTTTATAAGTTTATAATTGGTGGTGGTGGTGGTGGGGGGTTTGTATATTACAAGCTATTCCACCATTACCAAAACCAGAAGTCAGTCCTTCATTTTATAATCCACCAATGTTTGGTTTAATGTCTCAGAGGAAAACAATACAGAATTGGTACTTAAACATCTTTTGCTCTCTTTCCTTTTGTATCCAATAGATTAAAAAATGTAATGTTTCATATATATTAAAATATCTTTTATCTCAAATGAAATGTCAAAACAGTCTCTTGTTAATTGATGTTCCCAGGAAGTAGAGATGTATTTGTTCAACTTCCAATTAATTTGTTGAGCAAAGAAGTCAGGTGAGTTGATTAGACCATGGAAATACTGAGTTCGACCAATTACTAACATGTAGCAACACTACTTCTGTTGCGAAATAACCAAAAGTATAAAATTCTGTTATCATGACATATAATAAATGGAGTGTTATTTATAACTAGTAAGAAGAGTATGACTTTCGTACATACAGTGGCATATTAAATGAGTTAAAGTGATATATGACAAATCTCCATTGTGATATATCACAAATCTCCATTGTCTTTTGTAAGAATAGAAATAAGTTAGCATAAGCATAGCCATCTTAAAGGCCTAGAAGCCATTTTCTGAGTATGTGACTTAGAAAGAAAAACTAGAACTGGGTAAGGCCTTGAAAAACAAGTTAATCATGAGCACCGGGTGGTGGGCAGCTGTGACCCTTGCTCAGTTAATCTTACATACCAAGCTTATCGTGCAGAACCTCCCTAACCATTGAGGAGTAGTCTTATCCTGCCCTTGCTTAACCCCAGGATGTATGTCTTGCAAGAATAATGTATAGTTGTGGAAAATTACTATGAGTTAAGTGCTTTGAAAATGCTATATAAACCCTTGGCTCTGAGTGCTCGGGGTCCTTGTTGAGACCCGCTGTGACGGGCTGACTTGGACCCCAGCTAGCTGGCTGAATAAAGACTTTGCTTGAATTTACATCTCTATGCCTGTGTAGTTTGTTCTCTGGAGAAGCCTTGGAAGCCCGGACCCTAACACTTTAAACTTAAAAAATTTTTTAATTGTATTTTGTGGTCAGCAAGTTTTCCATTTGTCAGCTTGGATGTGAAAGATGCTATTTAAAACTGAACAGTAACTGTACATGGCTGGCTGAACAATATAACCTCTAAAATACAGCAGAATATGAGCCATATAATTAAGATGTCAGCTGAACAAGACAAGGCCACTCAGAAGGATGTCATTTTGTGGCATGTGCTCAGCAGGGCTTAAGTAAGTAGAACTGTTGGGTGGGGACTTATTCTTCCCACCTCTGTTTACATGTACTAATACCAACTGCTGTCAGTACAGCTCACCTTGCAGTCAGAACAGCTGACTTTTTTAAGACAGAAGAATATTCCACCTTGTATGAACTGGTTTCATAAGTAAAAACTGTTCTTACTCAACTCTGTTCTAAGGATGTCTGTAAGTTTTCAGGGTTAGTCTGCTAAATGTGTGTATATCCTGAGAAACTGCTGAAGGAGCAACAAAAATCAATGATATCATAGGGAAAAAACTCATAGCCACAGGAAACCAAGCACTGTTGAGTCAACATTTTTCTTCTTGGTCACTTGTTTTACACTTACTAGGTAAACCAAAAGACCTTTTCATTTGTTATACAAATATGTGTGTATACATGCATAAATGACCAAAATTAACATCTGATAATATAAAACGTCTATGTTCAGAGTTCATCAATGCTTTGGGATCCTGAGCTTTTTTCCGGTATAGAAAACAGACTTAACATCTCCATTTCCAGTGGATGCATGTTGTCTCCTGTTATAATTAAGGAATGTAATGGGCCTCCCAAGTCCACAGTACACATCTGCTGCAAAGTGCCTGCTGCAATTTTCTGGTCCTCAGCTCCAACCCTGGCTAAGCCAACACAGAGTGTCTCCTCCGTGACTGCTATTAAAAAAAAAAAAACCGTACTATAATTCAATAAAGGAAGTACATTATGTTATCCAACATTCAAACTAACATTAGTACCAAAGTATATTTAAAGAAGCTACAAATGTCTTATATTTCCTTGGTCACTCATTATGAACTAATGAACTGATTATCTATTGATTTATCTAAGGCTTTTCTAAGTTATTTGCACTATCTGACATATAAAGTAGTAACTTCCTAATGTACCCTCTCAGAATTCTAAAGGCCTACCTCACTTTTTTAAAATTTAGGCTTACCTCAATTTTTAGGAATTGATAGACAATTGTATCCCATACCCTTTACAAATGCATTGCATTTGTCTTTAGATTAAATGAACCATGTTTATTAGATGCTTTTATTTTCAATAAATTGCTCAAAATATGTTCACATTGATCAAGATATACTGGAAAAAATAGGATTATGAGACACATACACAGGTTTCTTTTTCTGTTTGGCCACCTAATCTACTATATGACAAAATTCAGTTTTTTTATTTTTAAAATGGAATACTATCTCTCTTAAATGGTAGTTTTTAGAGCTAAGATAATAGATATGAAAGTACTTAGTAAACTACAGAGCCCTTAACAAGTAACTAACAGTCATTATGACATTACTTATGCTTTTAAGTTCAAAATAACCAACATTAGTGAATTTCAGCATTATTTACTCGGATAGAATAGCCTTAGGGCTGTTTCATGGTTTTATTTAATTGGGAAGGCTGTCCTGATCGAACACTGACCAAAACAGGGGAAATGATTTCTACAGGAACAAGTAAGGATACAAGGAACTCTGTACAAAGTTATGGATATAGAACACCCTTGAAGACTGTTTTATGAGTTTAAAAGGGTCTTTCAATGAAAAATAAATAATAGTTATTCAAGACTCACTTCATGTATTTTTTTCTATCAAGAGATAGGTGCTCATAGGCAGTCACCACCTTATAACAAAATCCATCCATTTAAAACCTCTCAATAAAGATTTACTAACAATAAACATTTTATTATATACCACATACTGTATCTAGATATTAGTAATATAATATACTAATTACAGGAATATGCTAACAGGAATATAAATTCTCTTGTCTTTACCCTGAAGAAAACTAATTCTGGTCTTAGTGTTGAACATGAGAAAAAGCAGAATAAGTGCCTCTTTACAGGATAGATCTCATCATGGATTTTGGCTAAAATCCAAGTTCTGTATTTTACCGAAATATTTATATCAGTATTTAAATAAAATCTGATTTATATTTAATGTGTGAAACATCCTCACTTTGGAATGGTCTTTATTTTCTAGAAAGAACTCCATAATTTTTCTTCCTCGTATAACTTTCAGCTTTGAGAGTTAAGTGAAAGGTGAAAAAAATCAATGACGATGCAAACACAAGCGCACTGTGGTCGTGGTGCCTGTGTGTGTGTGTGTTACAGATGTGTATCAGACACACAGCTCAGCGCAGGGGCCAGGAATATGAGAGCCTTTTAGGGTCTTGAGTACCTGGTTCTTCTCCTCGTATCCTTTGATTCTGAACAATCTCTAGAAATTGCTGGGCTGCTTGGTTTACGCTCATAAACCGAGGAGGTTCATAGATTTTTCTTCCCCTGTGGGTATAAAACTAGATGCCATTGTTCTTAGCCATGAAAGTACATCACACATTAGTAATGCGTTATCCCCCACCCCCCAAGTATACTCAAGCACCACAGTCTACACTCAATTGGAAGCTTTCACGTGTCGCCCACTTCACCTACACACCAGAGCATGGATACAGTCACTGCTCAGCTTTAGCTTTTTTCATTGTTCTACTTCAACTGCCCGCGATCTCACTGAAATGTTGGCAGAAATAAAAGTCCAACAACTTAAAGATAAATGTCTAAATGAAAGTTACTCTTATTCAAAGTGATACATTAGGTAAAAATAATTCAAAGTAAGTGGGAATTTGTTATATATCCTAGTTTAATCAGGTTCTGTAGTATGCATTTTTATTACCATGTTTAAACCACATATTCCTCTCATCGCTTCATCCTCTAAAAGAATATTAAAGTGGTAACTATCTGAAAATCTTGGGGAGTAAGATACGTTTACTTCAGAATGCCTCAAAAGCCTACCTTGTTTGCCCAATCATTATAATAAAAATACCATTTTTGTAGCTTACATAATTTTCTGACTCTCAAAACAGTTCTCTAAGTCAGCACTACTCAAGAGAAATAGCATGCAAGCCACAAACATAATTTTAGATTTTCTAGTAGCTACATTAATAAAAGTAAAAAACAGCAAAATTAGTTTCAATAATATAGTTTATTTAATCTAATATATCCAAAATATTAATTTTAACATTTACTCCTATAAAAATTATTAAGGAAATTGTTTTGTACTAAATCTTTGAAATCTGATATTTTATTTATGATACATCAATTAAAATGTTAAATTTTCATTGGAAATACTTGATCAGTTCATACTAAGTATTTATAAAATTGGATTTATATGCTTAAGTTGTTTTAAATATACTTAAAAGTTTTTCAATAACAAAGTTGAGTATTCATTTTAAAGTAATTAAAATTAAAATATAAATTCAGTTCCTCAGTTATATTAGCCATATTTCAAGCATTCATGTGGATAATAGCTTATTAAACATTGCTTCCATATGCAAAAAGGATTACTCTTATTACACATATGAGGAAAATGGCTCAGAAATGGAAGTAAATTACCCAAGAGCACACATCTAAAAATAGACTCAGGACTCAAACTCATGTCTTCTGATTCCCAATTCATAATTCATTCCAATTCATAATATTTACTGAGTGCCTATTAGGTGCCAATCAGTGTTGTCAGTATCAAATCTGTGAAATCCATTGCTACTTCCACTCTGTCACACTGCTTATTATTTCAGAAGATTACATGTTTAATTTTTAACTGTTAATGAAAGCTGATTTTCAACAATCTTTAAAACCCATGTCATTTATGTGGAATTTATTGTTCAAGGAATTAAAATAGATGTAAGCATTTTCAGAATAAGAACTTACTTAATTAGGTTTTCCAAAGATTGCTCCTTTACTTTGATGTCTATAGAAAGCAAAAAAACAATTCTCTTTTAATGTAATTAACTACTTTATCTAAAACCCCATACGTAAATTTCAGTTGAGTCACCTAAATTTTAGGGAAACACTCTTCTCAAGTCTCCAAAATGCCAATGTGGGAATATGTGATGGTCTTCCCTCACTTGTATCTAGCCACATTTTTATGAAGATATAGAGAAGAATGGAAGCTTATGGTTGTGTAAAGGTCATTAGTTAGAAAACAAACATCAGACTGTCCCTGAGATCATCCTGAAAGGACCTAACTTAATTTCCTCTTGGAAAACAAGACACAGGAAAGAGTTAGATAAATATTGGCATATATACTACTTAACAGTCAATCAAAATCTTAGTGTTCATTTCTACTAGCTATTAACTAACTACACATACCCAACTGAAGTCTTCTTAGGTTCCTAGTGTTACCTGCTTTTCAGACACTAGAATGTAAGCTTTAATGCACATAATATAAATAGAAGAAAATTCTTACCATATTTTGAAAGGAGATTTTGCTTTCTTGTGAATGATAAGACATACCTAAATACTTACAAATAAACACGCTTTAATACCTACAGTCAGGGCTCTCCTGAGCACTGACTGCAAGTGATGGGGCCAGAGTACACAATCTCTGCTCTCATGAAGCTTGACAATCCAAGTTCACAGATATTTGATTCTTTACACTTTTTTAATCACTGGTGCTCAGCTGAACGATTTGGTAGAAGGTAAAGAAGCAGAATCACCCTACATCCTCACGGGAACTCAGGACACAACAGCAAGAGAACAGCTGCTTCCTGTTCTACATGCTCAAAACAAATGGTTCAGCCAAAGTTTGTTTTTGCAAAAATAAATATAGTGTAACTGAGGGGTCTTTTTGACAGGCTTGTACAGCTTTCCTGAATGATTATAAAAGTTTTTCTTATAAAGCATATTAGAGAGTTTCCTTGGAAAATACAGCAGTGATTAATTCCTTATATGTATTCTAAATGTTCTTGGAAACAGCAGTGAATGTATTTTTCAGGTCCAAAATGTTATTTAATAATCTACTTGTCTGCCACATATAGGAAAAAGTGTCTTATCTGCTATTGAAAATGTGGCCTACAATACAAATAATGGTATAAGTCAACTTAGATTTCCTTTACAAGATTTTTCTAAGATTTTAAAAAATTCAACACATGTATTAATTTATTCACCTTGAGGTACTGAGAAGTTATTTATAAGGTTTAAATTTAGTATTTTCAATTCTTTTACTTTTTTAATGACATGCTTTATAGAATCTGATTTTTAAAATGAAAAGGGTTGGGGAGAATTTTTATAGGCAAATGCTTTTTAATTGAACATAAGACTGAATTAGTGAATTAACCTCAAGCCAAACCAGTCTTAATACTTTTCCCTTGTCTTCACACAGGCCCTAATTACTTCTTTCTACTTCTACTTGCGAGAACATAAGCATCTCCTATTCATTTTGGTATCAACACCTAGCATACACTCAAGCCAAACCAGTCTTAATACTTTTCCCTTGTCTTCACACAGGCCCTAATTACTTCTTTCTACTTCTACTTGCGAGAACATAAGCATCTCCTATTCATTTTGGTATCAACACCTAGCATACTGCAAGTACTCAAAAAATATCTCTGGAATAAATCTGTTCACGTGGCTCTACCGCCACCCACCCACCTACACTATCTATCTTTTGAGTAAGTCCCAATTCCTTCATAAAGCCTTTGTTGACTTCCCCTCAAATGGTTTTTGTTCTGTGAAGTATCTATACAATTAATACTATATTTTACTAATTTCTAACTATATCATATACATTGGTCTTGTCTTTCCAAGTAAATTTTAAATTCCCTGTAATTTCTTATCATGGTATATTCTCACTAATACCTACAGGGCTTGGCCCATAGCAGGCATTCAATAGACACACACTAATTTAAAAGATGAGAATTCCAGGTGATTAAATGGTGAGATCTAAGGTATGAGGGTTTGGAATCATGATTATCTTATTCTTCACACCTTGTTCCTGCTTTTGTTAACAGAGCAAGGAAGACATATTGTTTAACCTTGTTTGTCTTTTCCCAGGAAAGCTAAGAAAAGAGGCAGCTCTTAGAGAGTTCAAGAGCCAAAATTCTGGTTTATCCTTCCTGCTTCTCCATACAATAGAACTTAACTGTTCTTTAAACTTTCATGTCCATGGCATGTTAGTTCCAACTAGACTTTAAAACCCTGAGGGCAGGACCCATGTCCAATACTTCCTTAGTTTTTCAAAAGAACCTAACTCCATATCGGGCAGAGTACACCACAATACAGTGAAAAGAGCTGTGAACAATAGGCTATTTGGATTCTATCAATTCTGCCACCAATAAGCTAGGTGACAGTGAGAGAATGATTCAGTATCTCTGGGCCTCAACTTCAACAGATTCTTTCAGGTCTGTAATTCTGTGATTCTGACAGCATCAATATTCAAAGACATAGGATGTGCTTGGTAAGAATTTGTACTCACTAAGTCTACTGAATTGCAGTAAATTGACAAGAACAGGGCCTTGATGGACAGATGGGCAAGATACAGAATGCTGCAGAGGCTCTATTAGGCATAAGAGGTAGGCAGCAGGAACTATCACGTGTACACAGAGATAGCCATGTGGTATTTGGAGCAGAAAATGCATGTCACCCTGAGAGCATATGGGAAAGAAAGTGGCACGCACAGGGTTAGACTGGGTCCCTTCTTACCTCTAGCTTAGTTACCCCACAGAGCAGCTTCACCTTAACACAAAATCAAAACAAGAACAAGACAACTCCATACTGTGTAAGAGGCCTTACCGAGTAAGCATAACGTATGCATGCTGTTCTGCCTGTTCTTCTTCACTTTGTCAAAGAAGCTTTCTGGTCTCCAAGTGTCTGTCCAAAAAACAACAGAAACGGTCTCGCCAAACTTATACAACTAGGAAAAAAAAAACCATTAATTAACTATAGAACAGTTCACTGACTGTATTTCATAGATAACTACCAAAATAAAAAGTGAGAACCAGACTTGAGATGGATTGAGGATCAAATGTGTCACAAAAAAGGTAGTAAGAGTTCTGTGGCCCACAGCAAAGTCAGTGTCTTTCTGATGCCCTTTCAGGAGGAGGCTTCTAGTATTTCTGCATTCAGCACAGGGACATATGTAACTAGTTCATGATTTAGCTATGTAGCTGGTAAAAACACTGAAATACAAAGAACCCAGAAGGAAGCTGAAAAAGACACCGTGGAGCAGTCAGAGCAGGGTTCACAAGGCTAATATTAGTATCTGCTTTCCACATGAGACCACCAAGGCTCAGAAAAAGCAAGCTGACTTGCCTAAGGTCAGGGGTTTTTAGTAATGAAAAAGAAATTCAAACCTAGGTCCAAGGAAGTACACCTTTGCACCATGCCACCCCAGTAAAAATCACACGGTATACGCACTCCAACCATTTCCCTAAACCTAACCCATTATTTTAGCCACTATTTGCTTCCTCACTCTAGAGTTAGATGAGGGCCTTTCCCAAACTCCCCCTCTCCCTGCATGCAGCCCACCCACCCTGTCTGACTGATACAACCAAGAAGCCTGCCTGGTTTGAGGCTGGCTGTGCAGTTAAGTGAGTCCAACTCCAAATCTAGTTTTGAATTCCGGTTCTGCAACTTGTTAGTTGTGTGACATTACTCTTTCTAAGTCTTTATCTCCAAAATAAGAACAGTGATAACACTGTCTTTCCTACCATAGGAATGTGATGATCAAATAATAGAGAAAGTTATTCAAACTGTGAAGTGATATGCTAATATTAGTTCTTATCTAGGCACTGTACAAAGGACAATTATTTTCAAAGACAATGTACAGTAAAACATAACACTACAGTTGTTATGTAAAGATTTAATTACCCAATTTAAATAGTGTTTGAAAGAATTTATAATAAACCTGGAAAGCACTAGCTGGGTAGAAATCACATCGAGTTGCTGCCACAAAATTAACTGTGTCACCAGAATTGCTGTGTGACTTCAGGAAATCACCCAACTTTTCCAAGCCTAAGGTTCTTTATTTTGAAAAATGAAAATGGTCTGGAGAAACGATTGTCATCCTAAGGCTTCTCAGATCAGTTTTCAGAAGCTGCTCCAAGATGTAAGGGGGAAACAGAAAGGAAGGAAACAGAGAAGCTGAGACATTCAAGATCCTCGATCCCTACATCCCTAGAGAAGCTCAACTTTTCTTGATTTCTATATACTGAGGTCCTAAAAACTATAACCAATACTTATAATGGTGACTTCGCATTCCCAAGGTTCATCATATTTCCTCACACAGCCACAACCTCAACTTACCTACCCATGGGCTTTAGTCCCAAAGTCCTTCTGAAAATTGCCCCAAATTAATTTCCCCATAGAAGCCATGCTACTCAGTGGCAATCATATTCACAGATCAGTGTACAAAATCCTATGTAACTCCAAATATTCAGTCAAATTTTTCTGCCACATGTAATGAGATTTTCCTGTAAAAAATGCATTTAGTGTTCTAATGTGAGATTCCTGGAATACATTCACCCAAGTTACAAAGACTGGGCTCTGTCACTGTTATTATTCTATGAGAGACAAATTTATCAAAGAAATATAACAGATCATCCACTCTGTACTATGCTACGCACAGATTAAATTGGGAAACAAAGTAGAACTCTGGCCCTCATGAAGTACATGGTCTCACTTGCACCTCACAAAGTTCTGGGGTCATGGCCCTGGTTGTTCTGGCCATTTGGGCGATCACGGACAAGTCAAATAACCTTCCTGACTTTCAGGAGGAACTCCCCTGCAAAATGGGTATAATAACTATAAACCTAACAATATGGTTGTTAGCAATGAAATGACATAAACTATGTAGAGTGTCTAGTATCTTACATAAAGTAAGACTCAATAAATGTTTGGGATTTGATGATGTAATGATGATGATGTTTATAATGATAATGTGAAGATGTTGTAAAATGCTGTGTCCTGCTATAATCTAACCACTTTCCTTATTTGGGGTGAGCTCAAAAATATTACCTAATATTTTAAACTATGCTTATGATTTAACTCTGAAAGTTAAACTGTTTACATTCTAAAAAGGATTTTTGGCATCTCTGATCAGATTTTGAAACATTAGTATTATTCTACTCAAAAACTTTAAGGGAGAATAATTAAAGCTAAAGAAAACTATATATGTAACCATACACAAATACTTTAAGTGGATCTTCAATACTTCTAATAGTCATAAAAATATAGTCATGGAGATAAATTCTTCATTCAAAATAAAAGGGATAGACCATTTAAAAGAGAAATGAAATGCTAGTCACGTATAAACACCAGTGAAGCATTCTGTGAAAAAGCGTCTTTGAATTGTCTAATTTGGAGGATTAAAGAAAACCTCACATAAGCACTGCTTTCTAGGACCCTGATTTATAGACTGCAACCATTCCCATGGCAGTGGTGCAACCTTCTTCAATGAATTCTGGAACATTATGCAAACAGTTGCACCACTTAGATGTCAGTACCTCAAAGAACAGAAAGACCAGTCCTTTGTGTTTCATAATCCAAGGAGTTACCAGTAAACTATAAATAGAAACTGGAGCAAAATCATACAGTGACGAGAACATACAGGGACGAGGTTGCAAAAGCCTAGTACGTGCTTGTATTTAGAAAGCCTTACAAATTTTAACTTTTGTGCCATGATCACTTTTCCCCAAAGAGATTATTGATGGAAATCTAAATTTAAAAACTACAAAAAGGAGCTGTTTTTTAGGAGTAGTAAGTAAATACAGGCCTTTTTGTTTTAACCTGGAGTAAGTTAGAGAGAAAGATTATCAAACTTGATATTAGATGTTCTTATCTACTGAAGACAAACAAAAATTCAACTCAAATAATCCACTTAATTATAAGTAAGGCACTATTTACAGTGAGAAGATACATAAGAAAGACAAATAGCAGGTAATAAATAATTATCAAAAGTGAGATAAAGACCAAGTATTGTAAGAGTTCAGAATTTCGCCCACCTGAAGGCAGCTTCTGAAGAGACAGGATATAAGCTCTGATCTTGAAGGATGGGTAAGATTTAGAATGGGGAAGCTGAACATGTGGCAAGAATGAGATGTTATAAAGAAAGTAACAGAGGTGGCAAATCTTGGGCAATATTTGGAATGGCATTAAGCAATTTTCAGAAATAGCTGTTGCCTGATTTGCCACTCACAAGTATCTCTAATTCCTGCCAGTTTACCCAGTGCCAATTTCTGGTCAATTCCAGCTCTATAATTCATATAGTTTCCAACTACCTTGCCTGAATGACCTTAATAGTCTTCTAATTCATCTCTCTGGCCACCAAATTTGCTTCCTTTCAGAAGCACAGATATCTTGTTGACTCCATTATATAATTAGGGTTTAATGCTTTTGTCATTTTACATTCAAATAAAAATATTTTGTGATTTTTAAGTTACAAAATATCTTCTCTGGACATGCAAAAGTTAGAAAATTTAAGTTGCTCAGGATTCTATTAAGCCGCACATGTACCTGTTGTACATATATATCCTAAGTCAGATGAGATAAATCTGTGAACTACAAGAAAGCTAAGCCAGCAGAGCTGTCAAAAAAACCCACCACAAAACCACATAATCAAGTTACTAGTTTTCTCTTCTATACAGAACACTGGTCTTGGACTTTTTTTTTTTAATCTTCACATGCATTTTAACATTGATGTAATGCTGATATCTGCTGACCCATAAGAAAGATTATCACATAGCCGCCTACTAGATACATAAATTTGAATGACTATGTAGACAAAAGAACTGTAAGTTTTAATATGCACACATAAATGAGAGAATCTACATATGAGTTAAATGAAAGAATTACAATTTAAAGTACTTAATTCCAAAGACAAGATCCAACTTGTGGGTGGGGGGAGTATAAGTAAATAAGTAATTCAACTCAGCAAGTATTTGTATATATTGATTATATGCATGGCACTGTGATAAAGTGCAATGGAAGATGTGAAAATGAGTAAATCAAGGAGTTTATAATATGGTAAAAACATAAAATAATACAAGTAACTTATCATTCTGTATAGGAAGGGGATTTACCAGGATGTTGGAATAGAAGAATGGCAAAATCAGATATAAAAAGAAAACTATGAAATGGGAGAGAATGATGGTAAAGTTGCTACTAAAACAGTGATTAGAAACAGTTACAGTGAAAATAGGAAGGAAAACAATGTTAGTAAGCCATGATTTAGCAGGTGATCAAAAATAATTCTGAAGTGACTAAAAGAATAAAGAGCTTTTTAAATGAATTATTTTAAGGTTGCATAGCAATGTCCTGCTCTGGTATACTTATTCCTAGTTTAGTGTTCTCTGCCTTAGGTTAGGCTTTATCATTTCTGCATTAGTCCCTGGACAACAATAAAGCAAACTAACAGTAAGAACTATTGTAAGGTCAACAATGCTGATAATCACAGTAAGTGTTGTGTTATGAGAAAAAGGAAGGAAATGAGTTGTTACTTCCAAAAGAGCAATACACATTTTTTTTCCAAAGCAGAAACATATTATATAAACAGAGGAACATATGGCAATAATCAAGGTCACTCATGCAACAGCCAGAGAAAGTGGAAGCATTTCATAATGATGAAAAAATGATACCTTTTCCCTGAAGTCAGCCACAATTGATAATGCACTTTTATGCAGAAATCATTGCTCTGTGGTTTCATCAAACTGTCTCATTTACCTGTCCTTTTAAATGTCTCAAAATCATTTCAGTCACCAAAGTTTTACAAAAAAATTAATATATTCAATCACATAAATCATTAACAATAAATGACAAATACCAAACAAAAAACATACTTTAGAATTTGTTGTTTGGTGTCAATTACTTCATTATCTTCAGATTCTCTGAAGCATCTTCATAAATCCTGGTGCACTTTGGAATCCACTGACCTTGTCCAACATTGCTCCCTGTCCTCACCTCATCCCTTTGTAGTTATGAAACCTAAGATCTGGAGAAGTTAGATGACTCCTTAGTCACTGCCTGAGCAAAAAATACATTCATTTTTGTGTGTGCTTCTGTAATATCTTGCAGATTCCCCAAAGTGCTTCCATGACTTCCTTCTTTAAATATACATTTCTCTCTGTTGGGAATGTCTTTTATCTTCTTGTTCATCTAAAAAAACAGCTTATCATTCATTTTTTAAATGACATATTGAGGTATAATTTACACGCCATAACATTCACCCACTTCAAGTGTACATTCACAGATTTTTAGTAAATTTACCAAGTTGTGCAACCATCACCATATCCAGTTGTAGAAAATTTTCATAATTCCAATCAGATCCCTTATGTACATTTATGGTTAATAACATCACCCCAGCCCCAGCCAAACAATTACTTTCTGACTCTAATAGATTTGCTTTTCCTGGACATTTCCTATAAATGGAATCACAAAATATATGGTTTTCTGTGTCTTGCTTCTTTCAGTTAACATGCATAAACTTAATACCTCTGCCAGGACTAACTCTTCACAAAACAAAAGGAGAGACTTCAGGGCAACGTCCATGCCTTCAAGAGACTGGGAATAAATTAAACCTAAGCACACTCTTGTAGTAATCAATTCTGAGATTGACAGTAGTCCTGAAAGCATATGAATGAAGACTGACACAGGGTTCTTAGGAAAGGAAGCAACAGCTCTAAAAATGACAAGTTAATATAACCAACCAAAATAAGAAACCAACTGAGCAATGGTGACAGAAAGGTCCAGTTCCATAGACAAGTCTATGCGGTAAGAACAATAATAACTGTGGTAGTGAATGTGGTGGGAAGGGATCCCTTAGCATACAGAGTCTATTTCTTTTCCTAGGCCTTTAAGTAGGCAGAAATGGCTCTCTACATCTCCCTAAATCTTGTTCTCTTAATAGACTTTGCTCTTACAACTCCCTTCTGATTTTCTCTTACATTCCACCCCTGGCTATGCAGTCTAAGCTCCCATCACCTCTCCTCTAAAGGATGGCAACAGCCTCCTAATAATTTCCTTGAGTCCAATCTTTCCTAGCAGCAATTCAATCTCCACACACGAGCCACAGATATCTTTAAAAACACTTACCATATCAAGTATTTGCACTACTTAAACCGCTTTAAAGGCAGTCAATCTGCATTATCTAGAATAAAATCCAAACTCTTGACTCTGGATTAGAAGGCCTAGCTAGCCAACCCTTCCCTCTAGAGACCCCAGATCACTGTTCTCCCTGCTTGCTGCTCTCCAACAAGCCTTTCTTTAGTTCTTTCAACAAGCCAAGCTCATTTCCACTTTAGGGTCTCTGCTGAACTGTTCCCTCTGACTGGAATACACTAGTTCCTTCTTGGTTCATATTAATTTAAATGTTACCACCTTAGAGTCTCTTCTGACCACCCAATTATAGTAATGACCCAGTCACTTTCTACACTGTTTCAGTTCGCTTGAATTTCTTATACTTAATCACTACCTGACATCTATTTTATTTGTTATTTCCTCACCCTCCTACTAGAATGTAAGCTCTTTGACAACAGGGACCTTCCTGGTTAGGTTTATCACTGTAGCAAAGGTACTTAGTAGGCAAACAATTAAAGAGACAAACAGTATCTGTTGAATAAATGGATCACTATTCCTTTCAATGATGTCTAATTGTTGGAAATGCATTCTCAGCTCCCCACTCCAGATCTACTCTATAGAAAATGTGAGAGGAAGGCCCAGGAATCTCTCTTAAAAGCCTTCTAGGTGATTCTGATAAGTAAGCATTAAGATATGAGAACCACTGGTGTAGGTTATTGGTTTTTTCCATAAATGCTAGTCCAAATGATGAAGAGCAAAAGACTAGCTATTATACAGAAAGAAACTTGGCCAAAGTTTTGCAGGCGGACTATCCATATATTTATTTTAAAATTTAAAAGTGCCATGCCTATAATGATTAATTTTTTAGAGCCTTATCTCAGAAAACTGTTCAAAAGGAAATCAATAATTACCTCTTTCCCCTGGGATATAATTTGGGTGGCCCAAGAAGTATACTTTAACAGAGATTTCATCAATACATAAGACAGACTTCGAAAGGCACTTCCTGTTTTCCCACAAGTAGTAAGTCATTTTCGTATCCAGATTAGAGAACAGGGAAACAATGCTTTGTGGCTGCTAGAGAAATCCCATATAAAATTGAAAGCTAAATACTTTTTTAAAAATAACATATGTAAATGTGGATATGACCTTAAGGGTTTATATGGAGACTGTCAATACAGTAAATTCTCTCTCAATACCTTTATCCTCTGTAAACATGAGAAATATTATACTGTACCTCTCCATCACTCTAGAGGATCAGTAGGACAGGGCCACCCAGGTTTAGCTTGAGCTAGCTCTGGATAACAGAATCACATGTGATGAAGACAAAGATCTTCAAAACAAATATTTTTTTATTCTAAAATTTTTATGCTTAAAAAAATGAAAAAAAATTTAAATGATAATAGTTATGATAATTTAGAGCAAAATATGATGGGAAAGGGCTAGCTCACTACAAATAAAAATAAAATCAATAAGAAAAAATATATTACATTAGCTAAGGTTTATAAATCTTTGTCACATGATAATTCATTCTCGTTTTTTCTTTCTCTTGGCAACCATCAGTTCTTAAAAGGTAGCATTGTGTATAGAAGAAAATACTGGACTGAGAATCAAGAGACTGACTGCAGTCAACTCACTGACTGCAATGTTAGAAAGGCTTTAAAGGATAGAAAAGACTTGAATTGGCAGGTTTATCATTGCAGAGGATCAGGAGGACAGGGTCATGTGAAGCTCTAGCCAGGTCTGGATAACAGATTTACATGTGATGAAGAAAAATATCTCTTAAAATACACTTAAAAAAAAAAAAAAAACCAAAACTTTAAATTACATATTGTGGAATACCTCGTTGCACAGATTCTAAGATAGACATTTTTTTCCTATTATAATGTATCTGAAATAGGAATATGCTTTAATCAGTGAAGTCTTAAAACCACTGTTGACCATGAGTAGTCATAGTTATCATGGATTATATGTGTGTCCACATCAGAGCACAAAATCAGACTTGGAATAATGAATGTTGGCAACTTAGGAGAAAATCTTGGAAACTCTTAGCCCCTCAGAATCAAGATTGCTGTGCTAAAAATAACTAACTTTATACAACAATAATCACAAAGCTGGCTTAGAAGCCTGTTATCACTGGCTTTGGCTCCTTCAGATTCTTTTAAAAACTTCTATGTCACAATGCTGTATAGAAATAACAATAATACTATATGGAAAAACATGGGCTTCAGCAATGCAGTGTAAGTCACCTGGAAAATTTTTAAGATGTTTTAGGACTACTGAACCAATGTAATTAAATTACATTTCCTTTTTTGTATGCATAAGTTGGATATAAAATTAAAATCTTTCTCTAGCTAAATTTCAATGGTCTATTCCAATGAAGGGAGGAAAAATCTAAACTAAACAATGTTTTAAAAATTAGTATTAAAAAACCTAGTATACACTAATGTAGCATAAAATGTCTTAGAGTTCATGAAATATAATAAAGTCAACATGCAATCTGTAGAAAAAAAAAAGATTTTTGCCAAATACCATGACCAAAAACTCCTTCTTTGTGGTATTACCTGTAAACCACAGCAGCCGACAGCATTTATTATGGAGGCATTATGAATAACTCGATAAGGGATACCCAGTTTTGTTGCTCTCAAAATAAGATCACTGTGTGTTGTGGCCCTGTAGTGAGAAAAAATCAGATTAAAGTAACCAACACTAACTTTTTAGGACAGTAAAAATATAAAGACATAATATTTCATGAATTCAAGTCAATCAAAGGGTTGAAGAAACTATTTTTCCTCAATTTCTGGGCTTTCTGGCAAGAAAAGTTTAAGTTTACACATGCCCTTCACAATGGCGAATCGTACCAGCAACACTCCCAAAGCAGCTACAGAAAAAAGGGACATTTCACCTGGTCCTTTGTCCTGCTAATACCTGCAACAACTTATGTGGAATATAAGCTCAGCAACTGAACTCCTGAGCAGCGATTCTTAAACTTTTTGGTCTAAAGACCCCTTTTAAACTCTTAAAATGACTGCTCTAGCGTTCTAAATTATGGTACAACTGGACATACTCCTTAATTTCTGCTCTATTTTGAAGTTTTGTCTTTACATTTTGAAATACAAGGCAGAATACACAGAACATTTTCAGAGCCTGTCGTCTGTCTTTATACTGGGTTCTACCTGATACAATCCTAGCTGGATTTTACATCTGGATTTTAGTTATTTTACTTAAAACTGTTTTCAATGTGATTACTACGTATAATTAGTATGTGTATATATGTGTGCATATTCTGCCTGTTGCCTTTTCTTTTTTGAGATAAATGTAATGACTATAACTAGAGAGCTTGTGAAGGGGAGAGAATATATGTAAATATAAATATGCACACTGTGAAATGTAGCCCCACATCAATTTAGAATTGAATTATTAAAGGCCTTTTCTCCCTTGATGAGAACTTCAGACCCTGCTGGGGAAAGCAACATTAGCATGTTTGAGAAACTACATACAAACAAGCAGAACCTGTCAACTGGTCAATGCATACCAAGCAGGAAGATCAAGGGCTTTCACCCCATGAGGCAGTCAGAAACAGATTAACAAATGTTCACCTGGGATGCCTGCTTTTAATCACACATAAAATATAAAATAGTATGAATAACAACCATTAATCTGATTTAGAGTAAGCTTTTTAAAAATATTAAGAATGCCAGTTGTAAAGAATGTCTTTAATAAACTACCTTCAATAGAATTTTACTATTTAACACTAAGATTAAGGAAAACTGAATTAGTTACTTGGTGAGTTATTTAAATAGATGAGCAGAAAGAAAAACTGCTTTAAAATTTATCTCTTTACCACATGTTCATTTAAAATGACCAGATGTGGCTGGTGTACTATGAAGATTTAATGACCTAGCAGTGATTTGATTTTGTGAAGCTGCCATAAATGTGATTAAGCTCCTCAGATTTCTGCTATGAAAAATTGTGATAAAATTGCTATTTTATCATCACAGTTACCTGGACTATATGCTTCATGAAAAAGAAAAAAATTTGTTTGAAACATAGGCTTACACCATTATATTAAGCATTCCTTCCAGTCTGAGGCTCATGAAAATGCTTCATTTACAGTGACTGGATAAGACAGAGAAAGACAGAGAAAGAGTATATGTGTGTATGATTTTGCATAGAGCCTCATGATCCAAAACAGTAATAAACTGGTCTTAATAATATGCAAGTTACTTGGAATTGCACTGAAGGTAATTTCAAAAGGAGATCGAAGAATGTTTTGACCAATGGAATCAATAAAATAAAGAACACAAAGGTGACCAATTTGAATGTGTAAGACTTGGTATGTTTATTTTAAAATTTATTTTATAATAACATTAGTTTGTATATAACGTGCTACCATATTTGACAGAGGTATGACTGGTGATCTGAATATCACTAATATTTACATTCTTATGTCAAAACTGATGTTCTCATGAACTACTGGAAACACTATCAATTGATACAGTAATTCTGAAGAGCAATCTGACAAGATATGCTTGAAAATACCCATGTTCAAAACTTGATTTTTTGGTATTATAAACCTATTTGGGGATAAAACAATACAAAATGTGGACATGGGAAAGTAGGAAGAGGGGAAAAGGATCATACACATTAAAATCCACACATGGCAGCTTTGTTTATTGAGAAATAAATGGACTAATGATAATAATGCTGATGTTTATTGTCTAGGTGCCAAGCACTGTTACTACTAGGTACTAAGCACTGTTCAAATGCATTAGGTGGAATGGAAACAATCAAATGACCTACATCAGGGCACCTAGGAGTGAATAAAGGAATAGTGGTGTATTTTTGTGTATGCATATCCCACGAAGGAAGAGGCACACAAAAAATGATGTGTTCATTTATTATGAAACATATATACAGAGCATATTAAAATAAAGAGTGGAATAACAAAATCAAACCATCACTAGAATTGAATGATGACCCTGTTCAGTTGCTCTTTTTGGGGACAGGAAAGCTTAAGACTCAACTCTCACGTGACTGAGGCAGATCTATTGATGTACTGTTTTTTGAGTCATTTACATTGTTACATGACTATCTTCCACATTCACTAACCTGAATACAAGGAGAGATGAGAACTACATCAGCTGACTTAACTGACTCTCAATAACCTTCAAGAATTTAAAATTGTTGGACATGGATGGTGGTTATGTTTGCACAAAGATGTGAATGTACTTACTGCCATTGAACTGTACATTTAAAAATGGGTAAAATGGTAAATACTATGTTATACATACTTTTCTACAACTTAAAAACTATTAGAACAATTTAAGACTGACTAAACAATTTTCCCTTCTTTTTGAATTTTTTATTCAAATAAGTAGAAATGGGCTTAAACATGACTTTTTGCTGTTGTTGTGTATAAGGAAAAATTTCAGTGCCTTGTTGTATTTTGTATTCCCTTCCTGGTTTATTCATTTAATTCACTCAAATTCTAATTCTTCAAGGCCCAATTAAAATTTACATATTTTCTACTATCCTGTCTCCAACTACTAACTCCTCCAAAACTATATCCCAGTAGGAATCTAGTGAGTAAATAAAAAATAACTATAGTACAGTAATTATTACATAAATCTGAATACAAAGGTATACATGATTGATCACTGACACAGGGCAAATTAATTGCTTAGGAGTTTAAAAAGAAAAAGACACTTATTCCTGAATAAGGGAGGATTCATGGAAGGGAGGACTTAGGGAAAAGGTCCATCTGAGCTGGGTCTTAAAGAATCTATTTTACTAAATAAAAACTGAGGATGACTATAATTAACCCTATTGTAAGGCATATTTGAAAGTTGCTAAAAGAGTCGGACCTGAGAGTTCTCATCACAAGGAAAAAGAATTTATTTTTTTTTGCATCTATGAGACAATGGGTGTTAACTGATTATAATAATTTCACAATATACATATGTCAAGTCACTATGCTGTACACCTTAGACTTACATAGTGCTGTGTCAACTATTGTTCAGCAAAACTTGGAATAAATAAAAGAAACTGGGGAGAACAGTCAGTAATATATACAAAGTATGAACAAAGACATTTATGAAATGGCAAAGTTGTATAATTTGGCTCTGGTATAGTCAAAAAGAAGAGCAGCCAAAGCAAAAAGACTAGAGTGTTAAAAGATGTAAGGCCATGAAAAGTCACTGAAAGCTTTCAAGAATGTAGTAACAGTACTAAGGCACTTTTTCTGGGCCTCAGTATCTTCATGTACATGAAATTTCCCCTTCCATTCCACCTCACAACTCAAAACTCCATAACGTCCACCTATTGACTCTTATTCAGACCCAGCTCTAGCACTAACTCCTCCATAAAGCCACCACTGATTAACTCCATAAACACTGTGCCTTCAAATTTATACACACTTCTCTATCCTAATCTTCTATTCAACCTTTCAATAGTATATCAAAATAAACCACTCGTTCCTTTCTGAAGCATTCTCTTTTCTCAGCTTCTGAGACTACACATGCTCTTGGCTTTCCTCTTCCTCTGGGTCTTGGCAGACAATGAAATACTTAAAAGTTTCCCCAGGCTTGATCTTAGGTCCTCTTCTCTTCCCCTTGTTCTTTTCTCAATTTCTCTGGCTTTAAATACAATCTATACACTAATGACTTAAAAAGCCATATATCCAGGATAACCCCTCCCTTGAGCTCCAGCAGCAGATTCCAAATTGTCTACATGACATCTCAAACTTAAAACATTTCTAGAACCAATTCTTGTTTCCCCCATTTTCCCTATTGGTTTTCACCATTTCAAGAACTGGTGGCACCACCAACTACTCAATTAAAGCCAGAATCCTGGAGGACTTAATTTCATTTTCAACTACTATAAACATACTGACATTCTTCCTTCTAAAATTTCCCAATATGCCTCCTTCTTTTTCCACCAGAGCCACTCCTGCCTCCCTAAAATCCATTCATCCAACCATTTAGAGGTATCTTTTAAGAATGTTAATCAGATATGATTCTTTCCTGCTTAAAATCCTCCAAAGGATTACCAGAATAATCCGAACAATATCCCTACTCCTCCAAGGTCTACATGGTTTGGCTCCTGCTTACCCCTTTTCCTCACTTACTATGCTCCAGCCCCAATGGCTTTCAGTTCCTTGAATACATTATTGCTGTTCCCTCTGCTTAGAATGTTCTTCTCCTCTGCTACTTATTTTATTTTTCAGATACCCACTTAACTATCACCTTAACAGAAAGGATTTTCTGTATTATCCTGCATAAATAAGCCGATTTCTATTAGTCCCTATTTTTTTCCTTTATAAACCTATCAGATTATAAACTTATTATTTTTTTCTTCAGTTGCTATGAGTCTTCCCTACTAAATTTACAAAGCCCATGTTTTATCATCTAATATATACCCAGCATGTAGAAGTGCCCGTCATGAAGAAGGTGTTCAAAAGTATCTGTTGAATGGATTAAGTGTCACTGTGAGATGTGCCTGGTTTTCTTTTGTTGCGACTTCAAGTAATATATTCAGCAATTCCTTCAATTAATATTTAACTGAAATTTACTATATTATGAAGGAAGTTAGGGAGATAAAAAATGTGAAGGGCAGCCTACAAATCTAAAGAGTACATGTACATATTACCACCACTGATTAACTCCATAAACACTGTGCCTTCAAATTTATACACACTTCTCTATCCTAATCTTCTATTCAACCTTTCAATAGTATATCAAAATAAACCACTCGTTCCTTTCTGAAGCATTCTCTTTTCTCAGCTTCTGAGACTACACATGCTCTTGGCTTTCCTCTTCCTCTGGGTCTTGGCAGACAATGAAACACTTAAAAGTTTCCCCAGGCTTGATCTTAGGTCCTCTTCTCTTCCCCTTGTTCTTTTCTCAATTTCTCTGGCTTTAAATACAATCTATACACTAATGACTTAAAAAGCCATATATCCAGGATAACCCCTCCCTTGAGCTCCAGCAGCAGATTCCAAATTGTCTACATGACATCTCAAACTTAAAACATTTCTAGAACCAATTCTTGTTTCCCCCATTTTCCCTATTGGTTTTCACCATTTCAAGAACTGGTGGCACCACCAACTACTCAATTAAAGCCAGAATCCTGGAGGACTTAATTTCATTTTCAACTACTATAAACATACTGACATTCTTCCTTCTAAAATTTCCCAATATGCCTCCTTCTTTTTCCACCAGAGCCACTCCTGCCTCCCTAAAATCCATTCATCCAACCATTTAGAGGTATCTTTTAAGAATGTTAATCAGATATGATTCTTTCCTGCTTAAAATCCTCCAAAGGATTACCAGAATAATCCGAACAATATCCCTACTCCTCCAAGGTCTACATGGTTTGGCTCCTGCTTACCCCTTTTCCTCACTTACTATGCTCCAGCCCCAATGGCTTTCAGTTCCTTGAATACATTATTGCTGTTCCCTCTGCTTAGAATGTTCTTCTCCTCTGCTACTTATTTTATTTTTCAGATACCCACTTAACTATCACCTTAACAGAAAGGATTTTCTGTATTATCCTGCATAAATAAGCCGATTTCTATTAGTCCCTATTTTTTTCCTTTATAAACCTATCAGATTATAAACTTATTATTTTTTTCTTCAGTTGCTATGAGTCTTCCCTACTAAATTTACAAAGCCCATGTTTTATCATCTAATATATACCCAGCATGTAGAAGTGCCCGTCATGAAGAAGGTGTTCAAAAGTATCTGTTGAATGGATTAAGTGTCACTGTGAGATGTGCCTGGTTTTCTTTTGTTGCGACTTCAAGTAATATATTCAGCAATTCCTTCAATTAATATTTAACTGAAATTTACTATATTATGAAGGAAGTTAGGGAGATAAAAAATGTGAAGGGCAGCCTACAAATCTAAAGAGTACATGTACATATTTATAAAAAAAAATACACTGTGAGGCAATATATGAAAACTAATATGAGTAATTTGTATCAATTAGTTAGAGATATACATAACTTCTGGTCAGGGTCATGAGAATCTACATCATAGAAAATGTGTTATCTGAGTCTGGCTTTGAAAGATGGGTAGGCTTCTGACAGAAATAGGGCAAAGGGCATTACAGATGAAGGAAAGAGTTTAAAAAATGTATGATGATGAAAACACAAGGTGATCAGGGAGGCACATGCTGGTTGGCAGGGTGTGGGCTTCACTGTAAGAGATGGAGGGCATAGGCAGAAGGGCAGACCGGACGGTACTCTAATGTCTGGCCAGTGATAGAGCTAACAATGCTCTCATTTTAAGCTCAGGTAAGATTTTCAAATTGTGGTTTCGCAAATATGAATTTGCCCACAGCACAGATAATGAATTAACAGTCTGTGCCTGGACCAGGCATAATGCTATACTATATTGAACTCTGGATGGACAAGATATGAAAAGCTTGGCAAAACAAAGGCAACAGCAGTGCTTCTCAAACTAACTGGTGAAAGGCCAATAATTTTTTAAGTTCTAAATTGTCATGGAACAATAGTTTTATAAAATGTAATAAAAATTAATGATTAGGAAAATATAATACAAAGTACAAGCTCCAAATTTTATTTTTTATTCAGCAGAGAGAAAATCATCTTTAAAAATTACTTTAAAATTGCTATAGAAGTGTCTAAATGCTTACTCTCAATTACTGTAGTTATCTCATAATGGCCTAGTAAGTTTGTGGGCTGGCACCAGTCTCCAAACATCACATTGAGTAGAAATGGTTTATAGGATTTTGTCAGGGACTGGATGCCATGAAAGTCAAAAGTGACTCTGAGATTACTCATGTTAGGTGATGACAAGAATTGTGGTACCATCAAGTTGGGAGTGTGGTGAGTCCAGAAGGTGCCACTATAAAAAACATGGGATTTTAGTAGCAGTCAGTGTGTTAATGAGAAACTTCTATAAGAGTTCCAAGAAAATTTATATGTAGGATTTTTCATTACCCTTATTTTATTTTACTATTTTGTGGCTGAAAAAAACAGGAACCACTAATTTAGAGGCCTTACTTTTACAGAAAACAATGTCAGAAGCAATTTAAGTATTTTTAAATGTATGATTATATAATGTCATTTGCAACTAACTATAATGATGATACACAATCTCTGGAACATCATATTAATATAAATTACTTTTTTTTTTTTTGACATACACATGCACATGTAACTCCGTTCTTTTGAAAAAACATCCTTGGTGGTAGGCTCACAGTGATTTAATTGTCCTTATGTTCTTTAAATCTGTGATACACATCTTGGATCACCAGCTGGAGACAAAAAACCTTTCTGTTTGGCTTGACATTAGAGATTGATGATGCTTGACTAGACAAGTAGAAGCCCATCTTTTTAGTAATGGGAAGCACAGACCTTCCAATGGATGTTAAGAAATTGAAATCTGAGACTTGAGAGATGATATTCAAAGCAAGTAAAGTGACAGCAATAGTGCTAAACATTAAGTGATCAGAAAAGAAAAAACAAAGTCTAGGACAAAGGAAGCAAAAGATGCTTGCAATTTACCTGAAAAACAAATGGCAGGTATGACTTAATAATCGAATACACATATTGAATAATGATACCTGGGACACCCTAGTGACCTTCTAAAAGAATTGCAGAAGCAGTGATACAAACTTCAGTGTTGATGCTTGATAAGCAATTTAGGTGATATATATATTGATGACATCCTTACCTATTAAGATCAACCTATTAGCATTACCTTAGCATATTTTCTTCATTAATCTCAAAGACAACGGAAGTATAAACTACAGAATTTTAGATATAGCTTAGGTAAAAAGAGTCTCTTATCAGGACCTGACAGGTAAAAGTTTTAAAATATAACAGAATAATTCTTACTGATTAGAAAAAAAGTAAGTTAATTAAAACTCAAAATATCTGCTTTGACTTACCCAAATGGATCACCAACTACAAGGAATGCAACATCACTGTTACCAGCATCCTTTAAAATATTATCTGCTTCTTGTTCCACTTCTTCTCTATCAGCAAGAATCACTTTTCTTCCATAAAACTCTTCCTACAGATTTAAGTCCAGTATCAAAATGAAACAGCAGGTGACAATTTACACACACACATATACCAGTCTTTGTCTGGGGCTGGTGAAAATCTTGGCAGCCACACAAACACAGATCACTGGATACAACTCATCAATGAGCTAGCACTCTAAATCATGTTATAGTTAAACTCTGTCTTTAGGGTTATCTTAATATCCCAGGAGACAGACCTTTGAACATCTAAGGATCTCTGAATTTTAAATTTGCCTGTAAATTTGGGTTTAATAGAGTAGGAAGAACACTGTAGGGTGAACAGAGAACATGTAGGCATGAGCCTTATTTCAGAAATATAGTAATACAAAATAAATATACTAAATAATAATTATACATACATGGTAGTTTGGTTTTTAAGTTTTCCACAGGAAAACCTATAGAATCCTTACTAAAATAACAAGTAACTTCAATGAGAAGTAATAGAAAATTAAGACTTAGGTGTTTATAGAACCAGCAAACATTCCTATATAATTGCAGGAAAAACTAATTTAAAACTATATTCCTGCTAAGAAGCAAGAGTTGCAGGTGAAAAGAATTCTAAATATATAGAAAGTCTCCATACAAACTGCTTCGTGAATTAACCCCCTGGAGTTCAACTCTAGAGAACAAACCCAGGAGACTCACCTCAACTGGAGCAGCACCTAAGTAAGGAGAGTGAGCTAGTGACCTAGTGGTCACGTGGCAGGGGTTACAAGTTACGATGCAACGTCACCAATCTTATAACTGATTTCCTGTGGAGTAATACGTAATTCAAATAGAGTGAAAGTAGATGCACAGATAAATTATTACTATTTCCTATATACTGAGAAGTTTGTTTAAATTTAAAGATTGTATCATAAGTTAAAAGTTATAAGGATTGAGGTAATGGAAGTGTATCTGGTACTATTTGTCAAGCAAATGAGTAAATGAACAAATGATTAAATATTTTGAGATAAAGGCTATAGTTTCAACTCTCATAATTATTTCCTAATATTTGACTAGAAACTGTTCCTCAAGTGTGACTTTCCTTTTCTCTGCATATCTGCTTAGAGATAATGCTTTTCCCAATGACAATATGTTTTATGGACGAAAAATGTTCTGTTTATGTTCACTTTTACCATGGGGTTTTTCCTAATCACTAATTTCTATATATCTTTCTTTAATTTTATGAGCCCAGAAACTTAGTAGCTGCAGAACACTTATATTCACATATCTAAGAGAACATAGGAAATCATTTTTTTCTGAACTTCTGACATTTCTTAAAGATCAAAAAGTCACACGCTACTAGCTTAATGCTAGCAGTAATCCTAAATCCTATCCTTTAAAAATAATGTAACAGAAAACCCCACTCTCTCAAAACTTCTATCATGCAGTACTCCACATTTACATCTCAACATAAGAAACATTTCATTACCAAATTGAGTCAACAGAAAGTGTACAAAAAATTCTCTAAAGAAATACAGATACACACCAACACCAAATATAATCAAATGACTGATCCTCTTGAAAAAAACAAAATGTTTAAAAAAGGGAAGAGATTTTTAACAAAATGTTAAAAAAGCAGTTAAGAGAAACTGGTATTATTTTAAATTTACCTACTTACTAAAAATTTATTCACTCACTTGGGTATTATCACTTGAAAAATATTTCTTATGTACAACCTCCATGCCAAACTCTATACTTGATACTGGCAACAGTGGTGAATGAGACATACATGGCTCACCCTATGGAACATAATGTCACATGGGGAACTAACTACCACATTGTATGTGCTACAGGAGCAAGGAATCTAGTAAGGGTCAGGGAAGGAACATTAAAAATTAAAAAGAAAAACAAGTAATATTATTTAACAAACGATTTTTAATTTATATTATATATTGCCCAATGACTTATCAACCAGTTTTTGTACAGTCTCAGTCCTAATCTTCTCCATTCATGAAGATGAAGGTAAAACTCAAAATTCATTGTTGCTTTAAGTTGGCAGGTTTTGTACATGAGGACAGGGTAAAAACTAAGTTAAAATTACTTTTGGGTATTTCTGGAAGGACAGATAAGCAATTAATGATTGCCTACAGGAAGGAAAACTGAGAAAAAAATCTTTCAATGTAAGTATCTTTTGACTTTCAAACTAGTGTATTGCCTAAAGAAAAAGTAGAAGAATAGAGGCTTAAAGTAGTATATGGAAACAAATGAGAAAAAAAAGTCTTAAAACCACTAATATTTAAAGAGGAAACAGAAATAAGGAGCTTACGAAGGGGACTGAAAAACAGAAAAGTAGGAATGAAACCAAAAGAAAGTCAATCAAGTCTTGAAAGCCAGTTTCAAGGAGTAGTCATCTATGTCAAAAGTAGGAAAACAGGTAACACTGAAAACTACCCTCTGGAGTTTTCAGCCACTAAGTAACTGCTCAACAAACAAATATTTCAGAGGAATGGAAGCCTGCTTGCAGGAGTATGAGACATGAGTGGATGTGGGGATAATGAAAGTACACTGCTTTTTCAAAAAGCTTTGGATAAAGGAGAAAAAGAATAATGTCTATGGGGAAAAGAAGTTTAAAAGAGGAGAGTTCTCAGAATGGACATTACTTGAATATGGTTTCAGGCTGTGGGGAGAAGGATGTTAATATAGATAAAACATAAAGAAGAAAGGATAACTGATGGGGGTAAAGTTCCAGAGCAAGAAGAAAGCACACACCTAATTGGAGTTAGTCTTGAATAGGAAGAGAATCCCAGACTGGGGTCATCTCAGACTGGGGAAGACAGATTCAGGTCTAGGGTAAGGACGGATGGCAAGTTAATACAGGTCATGGTTGACAGCCTCATTTTTCCCAGTGCAAAGTCCTTTACTGTCCTTTCCTCTATCCCTCTATCAGTGCAGAGCAGTTCAACAGGAGGACAAGAAAACAAGTGAGGTGATATTCACATGAAGAGAGGGAATAGATACACTGGGAGAAAATCATTACTGATGCCCAAAGACCAAATATACCAAATACTTGGGCTTTTCTCCTCTATGCTTTTGCTCACACTTTCTTCAGTAAGGAACACTTTCGCTTCCCCTTATCAAACCTTATCTCTAATAATGTGTCCTTTTCTTCCCCTTGTCAAATCTAATCTATAATAGCAATATTTATAATAATACACTTACATTGAACTCATTTTGTGGTCAGGCACTATTCTAAGAACTTATACCTATGAATTCATTTAATCTTTACTATAATCTATGAGATAAGCACTATTTCTATATCTGTTTGACAGATAAGAAAAAGAGCATAGAGAAGTTAAGCAACTGCCCAAGATCACAGTAATGTGGTAGACTGCAGAACTTCGTATGTACTACAAACGGGGCAACGGGGCATGGAGAGGCAGAGCTTAGTGATCTCCTCTGCTTTTTACAGGATAGCTGGGCACCCAAAGTTAGTCCCCTTTGCACACAGCAGCTTCCTCCATTTACTTGCAGAGCTGTACAAATATTACCATTTTAAATTTGGACCATGAGGTAAACAAAAGAAACAAAATAAAAAGACTAGATACATTATTTTAAAAGAGCTTAAATTCCTCACTGAGAAGTGACTGGTGGTAACCACGGGGAAGGAGTTGGGATAGGTGCGTGAGGAGGGAAAGGGGAATAAAAGGGCACAAAAATTCTCAATCATAATATAAGTTGGTCATGGGGATAGCAGTACAGCATGGAGAATACAGCCAATAACTCTATAACATCTTCCTATGTTGACAGATAGTAACTGTACGAGTTGGGGTGAGAATTTAATGTGGATAACTGGTGAACCTCTGTGCTGTATACTTGAAACTAACATAAGATTTTATATATATTTCAATTAAAAAAAATCCTGTCTATCTCATAGTATTCCTGGACCACCAGAGCCTGAAGTGATCTTCTCTTACATGTATTCCAGTTGAAATAACTAGTAATTACTTAACATTTTAGACTTCTACTTAATTGGTGACAAGACTGTTGGCTTAAATAAAGTCATCTAAGTTCTTTCCAGTACTATAATTTTAGGTTTTTATTTCAACTGTTGTCATGAATTGTTACTTAAATCTTCCATTTTTATTTCAGTGTTCCTGGGGGTAAGGCAGATGGATTATGAACCACTTGAGAACAAAGATCATAGCTTATACCTTTTTGTATAATGAACAGAGGTGAATAATATCAAATCAGTATAGAAGACCTTAATTTATCCACAAAAAGTTCCTAAAGAAATTCAAGTTGTATATACCAAAACTTCCTGGATTCACTGTCTCTAGTTTTTTTTCTGAGTAATAGAGAATACTGTGTAATAATTATCTAAAGTTATGGAAACTGGGTTGTATATGTAGGTATGAGTACAGATCAACAATTTTTAAAAACCAGTTTGTTTCAAAAAAGAAAGAAAAGGTAGCAATAAAAGGAAGAAGGAAGTGGTTGAAGAGAAAGTGGCTCTGATATTTCACTGGGCAATATAAGACATGTATTTATTTGTACCTTACTTCATTCTAAAAATGATTCATTTACAGTGATTAATGTCATATGGCAAGTTGCTCGGGGAAGAACATGACTGAGGACCTGGAGGACGTCATGGAGTGCAGATCAATAGAATTTTGTGACAAGGAGGGATCCAGGATTGACCATTTGTTTGAATCCTACCTTGTCTGTAGGTATTCTCTGAAGTCACTGTTTTGTGAAGATATTATCTATCCCTAAGAATACACAATGATATAAAGATATATAAAGAGAGACACAATGATATAAAGGTCAAGAGTGGTGGAACTCAACTTAGGACTGCCTTGGCTCATATTCTGGCTATATTACTCACAGTCTATGACTGGGGGCAAGTTTCTCTGTGCCTGTAAAATGTGAACAGTAATTATAAAGTAATAATTCTGTTCTATATGTTCTGTATTTAGAAAAGTGAATATAAATATTCTGTAAATACTAGCACATATTACTGTGGAGGAACACTACTCTAACACCTTAATAAAGTAGACATAATTTACCTGCAGGTGTGGTTGAGTCCAGCCCCAGATCCTGACTCTTTAAATAATCACTCTACAAGTATGTTTTTGTAAAAAAAAAGTTTTTAAAAATGGTAGCAACCAAAATTAAAATTTAGCTAGCACTTAAAATTTACAAAGCACTTTCAAATACATCAGGATTAATACTTCCAAATACACATAGGATTAGTAAAACCCTACATAACCCTCCAGTTGGTTATACTCTTCATTATTTGAATGAAGAAAATGAGGTTTAGAGAAGTTTGGAAATGTGTCCATTAACTACCATTTAAGAATGCTTTATGAAAGGCACTATACAAAGAACCTATAAGGTAGGCATTTTTGTCCTCATTTTACATAGTAAGAAATTATAGTTAAAGGACTTGACCAAGATCACATGTTAACATGTGACAAAGCAAAGACTTAAAAACCGGGTCCAAGCTTACCTCTATGCTATGCTCTGACACCTTATTCCATAAAACTGCTGACTAGTATTTATCCATATTAGATGGTTTCCAGTTCATTCCAATTTTCCTTGATCTTTGATTAAAGGAATATTTCTACCACTTTGAGCTCAGATATTTTGGTCTTATCCTAATAAATCAGAGCCAACAAGTCAAAGCTGGTCATTAGACACAACTTTCATATCAATTCATGGCCAATTCAAGTAGAAGCCTTTAAATTCTTCCTTAAGATTTTTCAAGTAACTCTAAGACCTTCAGAATTCTCTGAGCTGTGAATGTGAGAGGACAGAAGACCTGAAATTCTCTAGGTCACCTTTTTTGTTTGGAAGCCTTAATATACAAACAATTCTGAAATCCTCTCTCTTCTTAAAACATGTCCATTTGGAGTTTGACAACGAACCTGAACTTAACCCCTCGTCCAAAATTTACTGAGCCCTTAACAAGAGCCAGCTAAATGTATGATACACTAACAAATCCTATGGTTACCAAGTCCCAAGTTCGCTCAAAATATACAAGTGTTACGGGTATTGTTACTTGGAGATGTCTATATAAGGGTAAAATCTCTTTGAATATGCTAGGAAGGTGATTATCAATCCCTATGGAAACACTTCAAAGGGGGAAACCTTCAGTTTGGTTTCTGAATATATAACCTGCTCATTACGGCAGTGTCAGCATCTCATTAGCACTCAACTCAGAAAGGATTTCTTGGCTATCCCCTGAAACAAGGGATTTTAATACCTATCTCCAGGAGTGTAAAATAACTTTCCTATTTTGCCACAAAATTAGACTTGTAAAGTAAGACAAAGCACCCTTTCATTTTCCAAGGCAATTGGTTGGTGTATGATTTCCACTTTTGTATTCCTTCTATCTTTAATGCACAGGGAATATGTTTTAAAGGATTTAAACAGACCTGAAAACCGGATTCAGCTTAATATAATGAAAATCAGCTGATGGAAAGATTTCCTCCCAGGGACTGGAGAACCTTTGGCACCTACCAGGACCTCCTTCCCTACAGTCAGGACTGAGGTATAGGCTTCCAGATACACTCGATTGCAGCGTCTTACAACTTCCAGGCCCTTGACTGTGATGTCCTTGGCATCTCCCAGACCCAAGCCGATCAAGTAAAGCATTTCAAAGTCCCGGGAGAGGGAGACTGCAGGACAAAGTGAACAAGAAAAAACGCGTCAGCTGCATCGAGGATACCCCAAACCTGATGATGAAAACCTAAACAGAACGAGGAGGGACGGCACGTCGCAGGTTTGAGAGCCTTACTTTACGCCTTTTAAATAACGACTGTAGTAAGTGTTTTTAAACAACCCTACCCCGCCTTCTCTCCTGTTACACAAACCTAGGAGCAGCCAATTACCCGCTGAGAGAATCGTAATTGGGTCCCTGTTCTCTTTAAACCGCTAAACTGCCGCCTTTCCGAAGAAGCTGGGACACAGGCAGAAGACTGGCGCCGACCGAGGATCCACGCCGCCAGCCTCCAGCACGGTGCCGCAAAAAGCCGCGCCTTCACGGCACTTTACGACTAGCTGGAAGGGGTGGGCGGGGTGGGAGAGATTTGGTCCCTTCTCTCCTGTGAGTGAACTACCGCTGCTGGGCGGGGGAGGCAAAAGGCTTGGCGGCCGAGGGCGTGGCCCCTGGGCAAGGACGAGGTGTGGTCACGATCCCTGTAGCCTGTGGCTTAAACAGCCCCGTCCTAGGACCGGGTAAGTGCCGGAGCTTTCCTCCCGGGAAGAGCCTGACTCCAGGTTGGGCCGCGGAGTTCCCGCGCCCTGAGCCTCTTGACCTGCAGGCGGCCGAGGGTGGCGAGTGGGAGGGACTTCCGTCGTTGGCCCGGGAATAACCGAGTGCTGAGAGTCCCGTCCTCGCGTTTTCATTCAGTTGTAGTTGAACCATCTACCTCCCTGGTGAGGTGTCAGCTTGCCAGACCTGGCCTTGAAATTGATTCTGATTTCCCCGCGGAGCTGTGATTCCTCAGGTTTGGGTCCTTGACCTCATTCCGGAGTGTCCCTAGGGGCGTGACTAAGATCTGCCTTAACCATCAGTGTGGGACAGCCCAGACCCTCCAGTGCCTAGAGGAGTGACCTTTAGCTCAGGGATTTCAGACTTCATTACAATTGCTTCCACACGGGGAATTCCTATAAAGTGGTTGATTAACTGTAGTTCCCGTGTCGGAAAGGTTTGACCGTAAACGGTCTTCGAAGGGTCATTAGTGACCTCATCCAAGTTAAAAAGACAGTTTACATTGTTTATCTTAGTGTTGAGTTTTCAGAATTAGTGGTGCTTCTCAGATAATGCCTTATGTCTTTTCTCCGCAACTCCACTTCCCTAAGTCATCACTTTGTTTTTTTTTCCTGGGTTCCATCTAGCCTTTGCATTTCTTGTTTGATACACTATTCAAGAGTGATTCTATCCATCCTCGTTACGTGGATAATGACCATAAACAAAAAATAATTCAAAATGGATAATAGACGTAGATGGAAAATCTAAAACTATAAAACTTCCAGAAGAGAACACAGAGGAAATATTTGTGGCCTTATTTAGACAAGTAGTTTTTAGGAGCAACACCAAAAGCATGATGCAGAAAAGAAAAACAAAGAAAAATTGAATTTCAACAAAATAAAAATGTAGGCTCCAAAAGACCCTGTGAAGACACACACTGGGAGAAAATATTTGCAAAGCATATCTGCAAAAGTAGTTGTATCAACAATACATAATGAACTCTCAAAATTCAATAGTAAGACCGAGCTTGGGAAACCTTCCCAGTGATCCTAGAGCTAGGCTAGGTATCTACTTTTATTCCAGTGATGCTCTGGGTATATACCTATCAGTTAAATGTGTTTTGTAATTGTCCACTTTTATGGCATCTTTACCAAACCATCAATTTTATGAAATCAGGGCCTATATATTATTCATCTTCTCATCCCTAAGATTTAGGATGGAGTCTGGCACATAATAGATATTCAATAAATGTTTGTTAAGTAGATCATTATGTATCCACTAGTAGCTGAACAATTTCTGTGAGTTATGATATGTTTTTCTATCTTTATGAAATGTAGGGTATTATATATTTTAGATGACTACCAAAAAGTCATTGATGGAATATCAAGCACAGACATGCCTTGCTTGTGTTGAAAGGCTTATGACACATATCACATATACTTAATAGGCATAGGTATGTTTTCCAATGTACTGGTCATATTTTATATGTTTTTATTTACATACTTTCATTGAGTAATTTCAGGTAGATTTACAGTGAAAGGACAGTACCAAAGGATAAGTAATCCAAAGGATTTTATTTCCTTTCAGGAAATCTTTATTGAAGAAATAAATATTTCTTCAATGTAGGGTAGGGAAGAAAAATACTGTATTTTTAGATACAGAAGTAATTACAGTTTTTACTCTTCAGAATTCAGTCAAAGGAACTTACATTCGCTATAGAATTCTTAAACCTTTTAACCTTTAATTTCTCAGTAGGAGTGTAAATTTTCAGTACTTTTCTGGAGGAGATAAAATGAAGGTGTTATTAACAGTCTTTTTTCTTCCCAACTCAACAAATATAACTAGGAAAGTCTTAACTGATCTTTGCAGAATTGTTCTGTATGATTTAGACGTTTCTCCCTTACTGTTTAAAACAGGTTTCAAACATGATTGCATTTTCCCCAGTAACTTATTATTAAAAATTTCAAACACATGGAAAAGTTGAAACAATTTTACAGTAAATATCCTATAGCTGCCTCCTAGGCTCTACAGTTTTTAACATTCTGCCATATTTGCTTTATTGTATGCTTATCCTTCTGCCCAGCCATCAACCCTTATTTTTTTATGCATTTCCAAGGGAGATGCAAACATAGTTTGTGTATGATTGCATTTTGTTTAAAAGATAAACTCTTCACCTAGGCAACAGATTAACAAAACACACCTATTATAGTGACTAAATAATGCCATTTCTTCACCTATTTAGACAGGCTTTGAGAGTTTTACTTTTAAAAAGTCTCAAACAGTATTTAACAACAGTGTAGCATCATTTTGATGATAATGAAAGCAGTCACAATACATATTTATAGTATCATAGCAAATTTGAAATCTCTTATCTAGCAGAAAAGAGGGGGATGGCTATAGAGAACTGTGATTCTAGGGGGAAAAAAGGGTAAAGTAAAAGCTTTTGTAGTTTAAAGAATAAATAGGCTAGATGAGGCCTAAAGAGTTTTCTTTATAATCCTGCTTTTGGGTAGGATAATACCAATCCTCGAGGGTGAACATTTTGCTCTTCTTGAGAAATCTTTAAGATGTTTTTGTAATCTTCATCAGTAACTCATTTTTAGTACCCTCACTGTCAGAAGTTGTTCCTTATATCTAATCTAAGACCTTCATGCAGAAATCATAAAATGTGTAAGAGAGATGCTGATAGTCATGAGAAGTTAATACTGGTGGCTTTTCTATTCCATTGTCATAGCACATCATACAGTAATTACATTTTAAAGTGATAACAACATAGTTGAGACACTGCATTACATTATGAACAAATTATAATTACCTTATATCCAAAGGAAGTCATCCTTCAGTTTTCCTATTTCAGCTCATTGTTTATGATTGAAAAGAATATGTTAGGGCTACTGGGTAAACTCCATCTGACCTTATTGTGAATAGAGAATATTATTTTACTCTGAAGCTGGCCTTTTAACCTACATGTTCCCAGAGATTGCCTTTTTGTTAGAGGAAATCTTGATTAATATTCATAGACCTTAGGAACCCTGAATTGATTGATTGTCATTATTTTTTATCAATTCACAAGTGGTAATTAAAGCTAGGATTGCTTTAGAAAGCTATATTTACTAAGATTAAGAAAAGATTTGAAATTATTGTGCCTTGGCTTACTTATGAAGAAAGTCACTTTTCCTTTATTCAATGATTTTATTTACTCATCTACACATTTTATATTTTGTGGTCATATAAAATGCATAATACTAAAAAAGTGAGAAACAAACCCTGCACATCCAGAGCAATTTTCAGTGAAAAATATGGGAATTTTTATTGCTGTCATTAACCCTACCTTAATAGATTTAGAGAGTGTGGACTGATAGTAAGTCAGTCACCTAAAGCACTATGTTTTTGTGTAAGATAGCTCCCCACAATGTTTATTTGTCTGTGTATTTCTTTGTTTTTAACCCATTCTTATACTTGGCAAGTCCTCTAAAGTCTATTGCTAAAAAGGTAGAATTGGATACATGATTTCACTCTTTTTTATGCTTAAAATATATACAGTGCCCTTTGAAGGTTTAGGGAAATATATCTAAAATTAGCCAAGATATGGTGGGAGAAAAGGGATGGTTTCCCTTTTTATCAATAGCCAAATTTCTTGGAAGTGGCATTTATAGACTTTATATTAATACATATATTAATACTATATAGAAATACAGACTTTGTTAGTCACATACCTCTACTCAATATAGTACTCCCCTACTTCTCTGACCTCACTTCCTGATTCTACCCACTCCCACTTCCCACAGTATCTGTGTAGCTCTGGCCCCATTTCCTTGAAGTCATTGCCCAAAGTTCCCCTCCTCAATGAGGCCTAACCTGTATAAAACTAACCCACTCCAATTACTTCATCTGCTCTTTTCCCCCATAACTGTTCACCTTCTGACATAACCATATAATTATGTATTATGTGTATTTTTGCTGTCCGTGTCCTCCTACTAGAATATAAGCATCACAGAGGCAGGAATTTTTTTGGTCCATTTGAGCTAACAAACATGAAACAAAAAACTTAGAATGATGTGTGGCATATGCTCAGTAGTTATATGTTGAATGAATGAATAAAATCTACATATGGTAATAAATTATAAATAAATTCTTTATAAGGGAAGAATTGTGCAGAGGGAAGTTTACTTAATGGTTATGAACTGAGATTTTAGCGTCGTTCAGACATTGTTTTAAGTCCAGGCATTTGCCTTCAGTAGTTCTCTGCATTCGCTTTCTAAATCGCAACTGCCTCTCTGTGAAATAGAGATAATAGTACCATCCCTCAGGATTATTGTGAGGATAAATGAAAGAATACATATAAAGGGCCTAGCATAGTGCCAGGCAATTGGTGGCATATAAATTTTGGCAGATATAGTTTGAAGTTAATTTTATAATTATGTACAGTGTCCCTCAGGTTAAAAGAATAAGCCTCTTCCATCCCACCTCAGTTGGTTTTCATTCTTTTTTCCGTTCACAAAAGCTCTATGAAATAATTACATGAGTTCATAGTTTTATTGATTCATGAAGGGTTATCTTAAGCAAACATACTCTGATGTATTCTTTCGGACCAAAACTCTTTCAATCATTCTGTGAGTTTAGCACTGTAGATTTAGTTGGCACCATATGTGTTACCTGGCAATTTGTTAATACATGAAATAGAAGATGGCTAATATGCAAATGTATTTTATTTCTTAGCATTTTAGTAATAAACAATCCAGTGAATAAAGAAAATGTTTGGGATCTAAAAATCAACTTAATTGTTTTTTTTTAAATTTTTTATTAAGGTATTACTGATATACACTCTTATGAAGGTTTCACATGAAAAAACAATGTGGTTACTACATTTACTTATTTTATCAAGTCCCCACCCATACCCCAATGCAGTCACTGTCCATCAGTCTAGTAAGATGCCATATATTCACTATTTGCCTTCTCTGTGCTACACTGTTTTCCCCATGAC